CATTTACCCAGAATGCTTTGTGTGTAAATAAAATGGCTCCATCTGTGTTAAAATATGCCCTGTGATGGACTTGCGACCTGTCCAGGGTGTACCCCGCCCCTCGCACTGTGACTGCTGGATATGGGCACCAGTGACCCACGCAACCCTGAAAAGGAAGAAGCGTGTACAGAAAATGGATGGATGGATGGATGGATAGTTTTATAAAACAAGCTAAATAGAAGCCTCTGTTGTTATCAGGGTAAACCTGTTTCAGATAAAATGTCAAGTATAAAAATATGATGCAAATGCAACATGTCTTTAAAAGATGTAATCCAGGTGGAAGCATACCTCCAGAACCTGAATATACTCTTTAGTGTGAGAGTTGCTCCTGCTGTTTGTAACTAAGTACATCATAACATCACAGTTCCATGACSGTGAACTGTGTGGACCCAGAAATCTACAAACCTTTTAATTACATGCGTCCTGTACACGAAGAAACATTTATATTTGACACAAGAATTAGCGTCAAAAATGTTTGAAATAATTGAGGAAAAAATATTTAATAGCTCCATATTTCCATATTTGTTTACTGGTGAGTTAATGGAACTGCAAGACTGTTTATAAAGCTGTACAATGTACATACACAATTTAATGCTATATCACCCCTTTTTAAGCTTATGTATTACCTGGAAAAGGTCAACTTTACCACATCATTTGGTGACCAAGTGTCATTTGATGARAATGGTGATGCACTACCAATGTATGATGTCATGAACTGGTTGTGGTTCCCTGACGGAAAAAGTAAAGTTCAGAGTKTGGGTGAGATTAAGAGGTTGGCCTCAARYGGTGAAGAACTCACACTYGATGAAGACAAAATCTTCTGGAACTTTGAATCTAGACAGGTCTTACTGTTTGTTTACATGCCAAATTTCATATTCACATCACAGTGTTAATGTATGCTACATATTTAACCTTTTCAATTTAGGTCAGTGTGCAGTGAAAGCTGCCTCCCAGGTACACATGTGGTGAGGAGAAGGGGAGAACCTCTGTGTTGCTTTTACTGTATTCCTTGTTCAGAAGGAAAATTTAGCAACAAAACTGGTTGGTACCCGTTTTATAAATACCAAGCATTTTGTTACTGCATACATTAAAAATAACTGATGGTTGCTAACTCTCAGGGCATGACATAGGATTGTACGAACAAATTTAACCTTGTTTT